AGTATATGTGATGACCACTAGACTATTCAATACAGTCTTGTGGAGCACAGGCAGGTTTATAACCTGTAGGTGGTGGACTTTGTGCCTATATAAATCTCTGAAACAAAACTGTCAGAAATCCCTGAAACAAAACTGTCATAAATGATGATTAAGATGATCCTTAGGACAGATCCTTAGGAATGAATATATAAAGAAATCTACTGACTTGTATTGCGTAGAAATCCCTGAAACAATGTTGTCAACAACGATGACTATGATGACCCTGAGGATAGATCCTTAGGGATAAAATAAGAAGACAAATGGGGCTAGGTAATCAGTTTAATTGTTTGATATGAAGTAGATAATTAAACCAATTAACTGTAACGACCCAAAAATCAAGGGTAAAAGTTTTATTTTTAGTATAGTCAAAACACATATATCTTTTAAATCCAAGCATTCCAAAAACATTGCAAATTAAAAACATTAGCAGAGTTCATCCCAAAATCACATATTGCGGAAACACGGGTGTGTGCGCCGTGATCAAGCCGGGCCCTTCCTTTCCAACCCGATGATGCCTGAAACCATAAAAAAATGTAAGCACGAAGCTTAGTGAGTTCCCCAGAGCATATCCCACATAATCCACATAATCATGCAATCCATATCAATCACATAAGCCATGCATATAAACATATAGGGATGTCATGGAAACCCTCCAAGGTCTTACACCGGGTGCCATGGGAACCCCCACATAGTCTTAGCCCATTGCCATGGGAAGCCCCACATGGTCTTCCAATAATATAAGGATGCCACGGAAACCCTACAAGGTCTTACACCAATGCCATGGGAACCCCCATATGGTCTTAGCCTGGAATGCCATGGGAACCCCCCAATGGTCTGACATCCAACTGCCTCGGGAACCCCCCCCCCCCCCCCCTGAGGTCTTCCATGCAAGTATCACATAGACAACTAGCATATCACATAACACATAATCAACTAGCATACCACATATCACATAATCGGGAATGGGAATCCCCACATGGTCTTCGCATAAATACATAACATATTGACAACATATTCGCAAGTAACCACTACATGCAAGAGTCACGAAGACAACTGGCATACTACATAAAACTAATTGCCATGGGAACCCCCACATGGTTTTATCATATTGACATAATATATCGATAGCACACTTACAATAATCATCACAACCAAATACATGGGCCGGCCTTGATGCCTTCGACCCATTACTACGGTGAGGAGACTCACCTCGAATGCAGAAGCTTCCCGAATGAAATCCTTAGTTGCTGCGCTGCCAGCTTCTCGAGATGTCACTACCAATCAATATTCCCAATTAGCAATTGGGTTCCATGCTAAAATCCTTAATCTATACATGGGGTAAAATGACCATTCTACCCATGGCCCTGTATGATCCAAAACTAAGCCCCAAGCCCAAAACAAAATCCCAACACTATAGTATCCTTAAATCCATCAGTGGCCCAATTTCCCAAATTGCGCCCCAACCCCTTACAGGCCTTATCCTAAACCCATAATCTCCTTCATTATAATTTAGTTTTCTCCAAGCACCCATTGGGACTAACTTTTCCAAAGTCAAAGTCAAATTCAACGCTCCGACTTGACCTAACTCGTCGAGTTATCCCTGTAACTCGTCGAGTTCATCCCAAAGCCAGAATCACCATGTTTCGATCCAACTCGTCGAGTTTTCTTCCAACTCGTCGAGCTCCTCTGTGTTCCAACAGAATCAGGGTAACCCCAACCCAACTCTCCAAGTTCCCCTGTGAACTCGTCGAGTTATCCAGTTTGTCAACCCACTTAATGCATTAAGCCCTTTTTCTCGAATCCAAAGGTTTCAAACTTCAGATCCCCCTTCATTGAGATGTCTAGAAGGGTAAAGTTTCCAACTTTACCCCCAAGGATCAACTAATAAGCTCTAAACTCAAACCCTAGTTCCTTTAAGGAAGGTCTTGACCCATTGAGCCCTTAAACTCTCATCCCAACGTCCCAAAACACAGATCTGATGTCCATAGGTGGACAAATCACATAAAGTTTCTAAATTTACGTCCATGCATGCTTAAAACACTCTCCAAGGTCTATTTTAGGCTTCATAGTGGACATATTGCATGAATGGGACACAGAGGCTATTAAAGTTTGCAACTTTATTCCTCTTGAGGTCTTATAGAGGCCAGATCTACACCCTCAACCTCTAGAAACCTCTTTTCTTTGGTCATCCAAGCCAAAGTCCCAAAACCAAGCCCTAAACTACCAAAATATGAGATCTAATAAGCTACATGTCAAGGTTATGACTTTATACCTCCAAGATGCAGCCTTTGATGTAGAGTTTCTGGATCCAAGATCTCTCTTCCAAGCTTGATACTTCTCTCTTCAAAACCTCCTTCAAAGATCTCAACAATCACTCAAACACTCACAAAACTCAATGAACAAGAGGGGGAGGCGATTCTAGGGTTTTATCTGGGCAAAGAGGTTGGTAGGGAGGCCAACCCTAGAGGTTATGTCCTTTAAATAAGGCACACTGCCCGAAAATTAGGGTTTTCATTTCCAGCATCAACTCGTCGAGTTGGGGCTCCCCAACTCGTCGAGTAGGTCCTTCAATCCACGTGGCTGGAAAGCTTTCTACTCGACGAGTTGGAGCCTCCCAACTCGTCGAGTTCCTTGCAGTACTTCAAAATAAATTCCTACCATTTGGTCCAAAAACTCCAACTGAATATCCGAGCGACCAAGATACATTATCTAACTCCAATTGGGTCCAAAACCTAACTCCTCGAGGTTTCGAAGCCTGATAATACCCAGCCCTTTGATCACCAATTCAAAATGGGAACAATACGAAACAGGATGTTACATTAACTATATTTATTGTGGGTTGAAAACCCTATGTAGTCATTAGATTTTCCAACCTGACACACTCAGTCTCTTTGTATCACAAGAAGCAGTACAAAGACAATGATGTTCGAACCCGATGATAGATTCGAGGATATATAGTCCATAGTATAAAAGATATTGTAAGGCATGTAATGACTATGTTTATGCTTATGTTTCTTGTATCAGTTGTGACATACCAAATTTTAATAAACCAATAAAAAAACATTTCTTTGGAAATACTTTTACGGGACCAATTCCACATTTATAAATAAACTTTATTTTAAAATAAGCATAAATAAAACGGTCTTTTTCGAACTTGAAAATTGGGGATGTCACAATAACCACTCACTCATAAGATATCATTGTCACCAAGAACTAGAAACATGTCTTTTGTTCCGACCATGAAAACGGTGACTATTGTTGACATTTAATCACACTTTTTTGTTTGTCATGACTATTGTTGAACAAGTTAAAATAATTTATACGCCAAATATTGATTAATTACCATTATGTACGCTATTCTAATAAACAACTTAAATTAATAAACATACTATAAAAATTGTCTAATACATTAAAAATGTCTAATATAAATACATTAAAAAATATAATAAATGTTTAACAACTTAGTTTAAAACAAAAAACTAAAAACCATTTACTGGATTACTGAGTGGTTAAATTATCTCATAAAACCCGCCAATTGCTATTTAAGTTGTGTTTATCTTCGTTGAATTTCTATTTGCATCTTTCCATGCATTTAAACTTGTTCATGTAATTCTTGTACCTAAAAAATAGTAAGACCACCATATATAATTAGTACATTTATTATATTTTTACCAATAATAACAACATACTAATATTTCTCTACCCATGGAAAATGATATCTACTATCTAATACAAGTAATTGTCTATTGTTCAGCCTCTTATCGCTAATAGCAATTATTGCAACTGTTGCTTTAACTGTCAAGCCAATAAAAGTAAGCTGCTCTTTCTTGCATTTAAACCTGGTATTTTTAAAAGCAAAGAAACATAGATAATGTTAGCATGAAGTCTTGTATGTACAACTATAGGTTTGAATTACTAGAGTGATACCAGTTGAACCAAAGACCAATGCTACAAATAATACGAGTATACAACTAACCATATAAATAAAGATCACTTGTCAATCACAAAGTACACTAACCTCCACCATCCACCTTCCAAGGGGATTCTCTCCTCATCAAGAAAAATTGATTTAGTTTTTACTTTTGATATATCAAAATACATATGATTTATGATAAATATGTATCTAAGTTCTGAAGAAAGATTACCTTGTTATATAGTTCTTCAAATCATGAACTTGTTCAACAAGTTCATATTGTACACCCTATAGAAATTAGTATTCAGAAAGTCAACCCAACTTGTCAAAAACAACAATTTGGTTAACACATAGTTAGTGTTCTACTGAAACGCAATTTTTCAGTTAGAAAGTTTACTCTTGAATAGATGCATACAATCATATAACAAATCTTCACAAGCTTAAATCCTTCCTTGTTATCAAAGAAGATACAAAAGAGAATAAACTGAGAAAAATCGAAAGCTAGAAAATAAAGCCTTTAAATACAGATGCAACACATTAACATGCTAAATCGCAGTTAATCTATTCATCATGCAAATAGGAAACAACCTTGATATTTTGAAACTAAAGATTGTGTTTAGGAACTAAGGTCCACTTGTGACCATTGTGCGTGTCATGACCCACTCTCGTTAGTTTGGGGTTCAACTTCCACGAAACATCATATTATTATAATCTTCATCTAGTATAGAGACCAACCACCGAGCACTAGCTACTACTAGCTACTTCTAAGTTGCATTGGACTACATTTTTGGTTACTAAACTTTCTTTGTAGCTCATTTGTTTATCCACATTATGGTGTGCTAATTTGGGGCCACTTATCTAGTATGAATCTAGTATCTCATCATCATAACAAACATCTAGAGATAGATTACACTTCATTTGTGACACGATGCAACCTCACAAATTCTTTGAGCTTTTCATATGTTATTCCAAATCTATGAGAAACATCAACTTTTCTGATTATTTACCAAATATACAAACAAACTTACAAAACAAGATTCTAATACAACACACTATGTCTACAACATACAAAACTTAAGTGAACCACATTTCTTCATCATCAAACTCTATTATTACTCCCTCGTGGGGTCGGCAAAGGAGACCCTGAAGGTGTCGAACGACGTTTACGATGTCCAGCTGGCGATTTGTTAACAACAGGACTAGCCAACTTTCGATTATTATCTTTTGAAACATTTTTAGCAGATTGAAGCTCTTCTAGATTTACTACAACTTCAGACATACGAGGTCTGGTTTTGGGTTCAATACTAAGACACTGTAAAGCAATCATGGCTGCGGTGTACACACTCTTTTGAGGATATTGTCCTTCTAATCCAGTGTCCATGATCCTAAACAATCTTCTTTTGTCTCCAAGATACGGTTTTGTCCATTCAATAAGATCTTGCTCAACACCAATCTTTGACTTGTCAACAGCACGACGACCAGTTAATAGCTCTAACAAAACAACCCCAAAACTGTATACATCACTCTTTGTTGTTAATCGACCTGTAGCAATGTATTCTGGAGCTGCGTATCCATGTGTACCCATTACTTGAGTTGACACGTGTGTTCGATCTCCAGTTGGCCCTGCTTTCGCTAATCCAAAATCGGAAAGTTTTGCATTGAATTCCGCATCAAGAAGGATGTTTGAAGCTTTGAAATCACGATATATGACTTGGTCTTTCGCGTCATGAAGAAAAGCTAGGCCTTTTGCAGCACCTATGGCGACTTTGAGCCTTGTTGCCCATGGAAGTGGTTGTGGGCCCCCTGTAAATCGAAAGAAAACGTTTTAATGGAAGAAGATGAAGAGTTATGTGCAAATCGCAAGACTTTAAGCATATATACTTCTGAAAAGATGATTCTCCAAGCTTCCTTTTGGCATGTACTCGTAAACCAAGAGCCTGTTTTCACCCTCTGAACAGTAGCCGATGAGTTTTACAAGATTAGGGTGGTGTAGCTGGCCAAGATAGGTTACTTCTGTCTGCAAATAACAGAGAGTTAGCGAAGAAGATGAACAGAGAGAGGAATCAAAAGAGTAATTTGGAAAACTATGCATACCAGCCATTCTTTATGGCCTTGAAAACTTTCAGGTTTAAGCTTTTTGACAGCGATGACAGTTCCGGATCCTGGTTTTGAAGCGATATGGGTGAATTCGTCGATCCAACCTTTGAAAACGTACCCAAATCCTCCTTCTCCAAGAAGACTGTCGACTTTGAAGTTTCTTGTGGCGTTCTTTAGCTCCATGAAGGAGAAGGGTTTTACATTCGGAGACGATAATATTTCACCTTCGGGTCTTGGGGTATAAACACCATCAATGCTGCTGCCTCCACTGAAAGTTGAAACCGTTATGCTGGAAAGACCTGAAGATGAACTGATTTTGCTGTTGATTTTCGAGCTCCCTGTTTTAGATATAATCCATTAGAACTGATAATCGCACACAAAACAATAAAATTCCATTGAAATCAAAGAAATTACCAGAGGTTCGGGAGCTAAGAGTAGCGTCGACTTTAGGGGAAGAAGAATTCAAACAGTTACCCATATTAGAAACTGAGGAAATGATTTGCAATCAGAAACCTAGGATTGAAGTTTAATGAAGGTAGTGGATGGAGGGAAGAAGTCAAGAAAGGGTTTAGTGAGAAAAGGAATTATGAGTTCACATATGGTGGCCCTTTTAGGGAAGAGCATATCGCTATCAAAAGTGAAAAGGGGGCGAAACAGAGATAATCATATAGAAGACGAAGAGAAATTTGGCCATTGACTCAATAAGTCTTGAAAAGTATCCTTCGTTTTCAATTGACTGGGCACCTTATGATTAATATATTAAACACAAAAATAATTAGTTTTAAATTTAACTAGTAAAAAAACACCGTTTTCGCCATGGGTCACTTTGTATTTTTCTTTTTGTTAAGCAAGAAATCATAGGAAGATCGAATTTTTAAAGGGCAGCTAATAAGAGATTAAAAATGTAAAAGTTTAGAAACTAATGTGTCAAAATGAAAATCAACAAAATTTTACTAAGGGACTAAAATATAAAAGTTTGAAAAGTAGTACGAAAAAATGAAGGTAAACAAAATCTACTATTCATAACTTGGTTTATATATATATATATATATATATATATATATATATATATATATATATATATATATATATATATATATATATATATATATATTGGAATGTTACAAGTAAAATTAGGCTATTTTATATTTTTTTTATAATTGAAGGGTCAAAATAAAACACTTTACAGGATATATTTAGAATCATGTCCTCTAACTTAATAAATATTTAATCTATCCATGATTTCCATTTTCTATTTTTTAAAGTATAAAACCCTTACTATCAAAATCACATCTTTTTTTTATCAACAAAGTTTTTTCGTGTTTACACATGGACAACGACATGATTTGATATGAGTATCAAAGATATGATATTAAAAACAAAGTTATAAATATAATATTAAGTGTTAATCTAAGAACATAAGAATCTATACCATTATTAGTCAAGTTTTTGCGAACTATATTTAAAAACTTTTTTGAACACAAGGTACAAAATTTTAAGCCCTTGTTATTTTCATGCGCCTTATTAAAGTCTTTTATTTCCTATTACCATAATCTTATCTATATTGTATTTTTGCTGAATTGTTTACCTTCATAGTTAACTGAATTATCTATTATGAAAATAAGAAGAAAAAAACATAGTGTAGTTTGGTATGGTTATTGATTAAAATCGAATGAAAACTACATAGATCGGTTTTAGTTTGTTAAAACTTTAATTTTCAGTTTTTTTATTTGGTGAGGTATGTAGTTTTAGTTGTGCTTTGGTTCAGTTTATAAACCTATAAACCGGAATAGGTATAACCGCAAAATCGATGGACTATGATCACATTTTTTTTGGGCTTATGATAAATCGAACACAAATGTAAAACAAACATTGTGGCAAATTAGTGGCTAACATGCTCAAATATGTCAAAAATATAGCCAAAACATATTTGAGACGATTTAAAAATAATATTTTTGTCGCAAATATATGTTTTGCAAGTTTTGAAGCTAAATCTTTGATTAAATCTTCTGAATATCTCAAATGTAATTGGAAACAAAACATAAAATGAGTAATGTGTTTTAAAGATGATATGATCCGATTTTTAGTATGTGTTTTTTACAAATAGTGTGGTATTTCCATGATTGTTGTGTTTCTTCCGGTGCTGGTATTTCCATGAGGAAATCAGTCAACGCGTGTGCTTTAATAATTGCTCTTGGTCTATATTCAGTATCGTGCTCCCCTAGCTCGATCACCTGTTTGGCTAATCAACCTGACATTTCATTTCTGGATTTAAAAGGATCTGACGTATTGGTTGTGTAACATCCTGTTTTTTAATGTTTCTCATTTCGGGATAGCGGGCCGTATTTCACTCAAGTAAAGGTCTTAGGCTTCAGAGGGGGGGGGGGGGAGTTTAGACCTTATTACATGTTTGATAATGTTTGTTACGTGAGTTAAGCCCTTGAATTGTGTTTTGGAGCCAAAAGGGGAGTAAAATGGGAAAAAGGTGATATTCTGGACTCTTTGCATTAATTAATAAATTAAGTTCTGATTGATTTTAGCCAAACGTAATTTGATAGAATTGTGCGGCTTCTCAATACCTTCGCGTGCATATAAAGATCACCAAAAACAGAGTTAGAACGAAGAAGTTATGATTATTTGAAGTTGAAAGCTGAAATTAGGATTTCAGCAGGAGTGTGGGGCGCTTCCGGCCCAGTGGGTTGCATGTTTTTAGGGTTTTCGAGGGTATTTAAAGGCCATTAAACGCTAGGGTTTGCTATTTCTCATCCTCCATCACCTCTAGAACGATCCCAAGTGAAACCTTAGCTTCTCGTCTCTCATTTTGAGCTTGAAACCACCTTTGGAGGCTTATTTCTTATACTTTGGTGTGAAGCTTGAAGATCAAGGTTGTTGCAAGTTACTTTGGTTTTGGGCTCAAGGTTGGATCTAGCAAAGTTACTCCATTTCTGGACCATTGTGAATAAAATGCTTCAATATTGATCTATAGTTTGTTAGATCTTGGCTTATGCCCTTTATGCCTTATTTTGCCTTTTGGTGTGGGATCTTGATGTTGGATGGACACCATGTAACGTCCCAAAAATAAGACCAAAAATTTTATTCTTAAATTATTAAAACGGTAATCCCAAAGGCAACATCATGGAATCCAAGGTGGAACAAAGTGTATCAATACATCATAAATATTAGAGTAAATCACAAAATACGGAAAACGGTGGTGTGTGTACTGCAATCATCTCGGGCTCTTCGCCTTCCAACCAGAAGTACCTGAAACTTAAACTAAAAACTGTAAACACAGAGCTTAGTGAGTTCCCCAAATACCACATACCTTACATATCAAACACAGAACGGGCCTCGCCCATCATCGGGCCCCGCCCAATGAGTGTAACGGGCCCCACCCTAACTTGCATAACGGGCCCCGTCCACTTAGTATAACGAGCCTCGCCCTAACTCTCACAACGGGCCCCGCCCAGCATACAAACATACAAGTATAACAAGTAATGGCATACAGATTACCCATTGGGCCCCGCCCACTAAGCATACATACACATGCAAGAGTCACTCAAGTAATCTAGCACCCTAACATAATAAATGTGACAACCCGTAAATTTCTATCTTGTAAAGTCAATCCAATCAACCAAAAGTCAGGCTTATTTCTATTACCTTTTAGCCTTGTTAGGGGTCATTTTGATGAGTTCTAAACCCAATACACTTTTGATTGGATGTTGAGAAGTGGTAGCTTAGTATTAGAGGAATGAAATCGATCCGGAAAACCCATCAAAAGGTGTTCAGGGCCGTGAACCCAAAGGTGGCCGTGAACCCCTCCCATATATATATACCTTTCTTTCATTTATTCCTCACTTTTCCTTGTCTTGGCCGCAAACAACCCTTTTCTCTCTCAAGTATCATCCACAAACACTCCAATCTTTCACTCTTAAAACACCCCTTTCCTTAGATACTCCATAGAAGCTTGATAGGATCTTCAAACACTAGCCAAAACACAAAGATCTTTAAGTGTTCTTCATCAAGTTGGGCCGTGAACCACTCAACCATTTGGGCCGTGAACCATCATCTTGGGTCGTGAACCACCCATCAAGTTGGGCCGTGAACCTTGTTGGGCCGTGAACACTTCATGTGTTCTTGGGCCGTGATCACACCATAGGGCCGTGAACACTCCTTCAACCTCCTATATTGCTTCTAGCACTCTTTTGGTGAGTTATCCTTGCATCCTAGGTTGTTTCCCAAACTCCTTTGTAGCTAGATTTGCTAATTACATGCCAATATGTGCCATTATATTTCATTTAGGACTCGTTTGTATCTCAGGAAATCATTCGTGGAACTTCTCATCCTTACGTGAATCTTCAATTGAATCACCCACATAAGGTGAGTTCATACCCATATAATCAATATTTAAAATGTTTTAAATGCTTTTAGGGGGGGGGATATAAGTTGAACACAATGATAATTGTGTAAATGTTATCTGTGATAAACATCATTTTAAAGGATTTTTTATGTGTTTATAAGTGATCAAATCATTTCAAAAAACTCTTTTGAAGTTATGTTACTTCGTTGTTTATAACACTCTGTTTTTAAAGTACAATCATAACTCAGTAGATAATCGAGTCTTTTCTACAAATCAGATATAGTTCAAGTAAACATACTAGTAAACTATAATAGGTATAGTTTAGGGGTTCAGAACACACAATAACAAGAACAGGGAGGAACATACCATAACGAGAAACAGAAAGAACATACTATGCACTAGAACAAAGAGAACATACTATACAAATACAAGAATACTATAACATTAATGTGAGCCACTATTTCATGGCACAACAATATGCTGCTGTTTCACGTTTTGTAACCAGAGTCTCCTGGAGGGAGAGCGTGAATTTGTGTATAGATCTATACGAGATTGACCATCCTACACCTTGCTGCTAGCTACAATGGGACCTGCAGGTCTACGGGTGACGAATGTCATACCATTTCGATGTCTTTGATCGTCGTGTTTACTAGTCAATCAAGTATAGTTATAACCTCATCACATTTTAACCTTAACTAACAAACTGGTTTTTAAGGTAGTCAGTACTTCAGTAGTTATTTTATATACAATACTACTATATACTTTCATTTTCCCATTACATTCATATAGTGATATTCTCACATAAAAGGTAATGCAAACTATTTTCTAGAAAAGATAGTTATAAACTTGGGACAACTTACAACATTCAAATGAAAAATAGAACAGTCGAGTCTTAGTACATTCAGTTAGAAGGGGGCCTATAATGCTAACTTTATGATTCCTCGGTAGATACATCAGGGATATATATTAATCGGGTCCGACAGACAGTAGGATGTGTGCTTTCCGCTTCATTTCCTGTTCCTTGTTTGGTTGTGGGCTTAGATCAGATTCACTTAGTCTACTATCTATTCGATCTTAGCTACATATATATCCGTATACGCCAAGTAATCATAAGGAGTACCAGGTATGGGTCAGGTCATAGTATACAAATTCAATACACCGTTTTCTAGTACAAAAACATACTTTTTTCAGATAGATAATTTAGTAGGCTAAACTAGAAACTTATCATTAAATGGTTTAATCCATTTTATTAAACCAGTATAACTTAAAGGACCTTTGGTGGTTAATTCTATAATACCTTAGTTTATAC